CAGATTGGGAGGGAGAAGGGGATAGGAAATCAGCAACCGGTTTTCCCTTAAGAGAGGATAGTGCATAAATTGAGGGGAATAAGGTCTTTAAAGAAGTCACCCACCCACACATCTTCCCAAAAATTAATTTTGTTACCTGAATTGTGATCAAACCTGACATGAGCAACGCAAGGAGTTTGTGAATCGCTTTCCAAGGTGATGCTTGGAAGCCCTACTAGACACTCCAGCATCCCAACCTTTCTCTGAGAGCCCATGTATGCTAGTCACAATTTTGTGCCACAACCTGTCTCTCTCGTGTGGGAATCTCCATAACCACTTTCCTATTAAAGCCTCATTCCTTTCCTTCAATCTCCCTAGACCCAAGCCTTCAAACTCTTTCCTCCTAGTTACTAGATCCCATCTTACTAAATGATATTTCTTCTCGCCCGGTTCCCATAAGAAATCCCTCATTATCCTCTCTAATTTCTTTCCAATAGCTTAGACCTGTTCATGGGCCGGGTTCGGGCCGGGCTTTTATTCTTCAGTAATGGAAATATGTTAGGCCCGATCCCGAGCCCGGCCCAACCAATGGGCCTACAACTTGGGCCCAAGCCCGGCCCTGATAAAAAAGCCCGAAGCCCAACCTAATAAAAAAAATTAGAATTTTTCCCTATTCAATAATCAATATAAATTAGAATTTATTTACATTAAAAAAAGAATGTAAAGAAGGGAAAAAGGATGTGGAGAAAAAGGGTTCGGCTGGAAAATAAGGGAAAGAGGTGAAAAAAAGAGGGGTATTAGACTAGGGTTTTTAGGTTTAGTTATAGGTCGGGCCGGGCCAGGCTATTTTGGCAAATCCCGAGCCCGGCTCAAATTTATTGCGGGCCGGGATTTTTGGCCCGAGGTTAAGCCCGCGGGCCCATATACCTGTTCAAGCTCGTCTGGGGGCCGGGCCGGGCCGGCCCCCGTCGGGCCACCCGACCCATGAACAGGTAGGTCTAGGGTAGACTTAATGAGAGTAATCCTGCCCCCCAAAGAAATATAACTCCTCCATGCAGCCTACTTCTTTTCAAACCTTTCCACTACTGGATTCTAGAAATCTAAATTTCTAGGATTTACACCGTGGGGGAGGCCTAGATACTTCAGTGGCCAATCACTTCTTAAACAACCTAGCTCCCTAGCCCATAGGTTAACCTTTTCTTGAGCTATTGATCCCTGCCATCAGACTTTTATTGGGGTTCACCTTTAGATTTGTCACTTTTTCAAAAGGGTTCACCAACATCCTTAGGTTTCTTGCACCTAACTCACCTCCATTCTCACAAAAGATAATGATGTCATCAGCAAATTGTAGGTGAGTTGCCACCACTCTCTCCCTTCCTACTCTCCATCCCTTTAACAAACCTACCTCATCTGCCTTCGAGATCAATCTGCTAAACACCTCTGCTAAGATGGTGAAAAGGAAGGGAGATAATGGATCCCCTTGTCTCACTCCCAAGGTTTCAAATGTCGCCAAATGTCGCTAATGTCGCCCGACATATGGCGTTGTCGAGGCTCACCGACATGAAAATAGATGGTAATATAAAAATTACATTATGTCGGTCGACATTTCCTATATTTCGGAAATGTCGACCAAATCGGTCCAATTAACCAAAAAAATACAGTTTTTCCTATTATGTCGACAAGATGTCGACAAGATGTTGACTAATGTACATTAAAAATATAATATATTAGTATATTATATAAATATAATACAGTATATTAATCTAGATTATTCCATTAATAATTTCTATTTAATATTTCAAATAAAATATTTATAAAAATAATTAACAAAATATAAAAACAAAAGAATAAATTAATTACTTTATAATATAAAACATAAAATATTTTTCAAGTAATAAAATATTAACTAGTTAGTATT